CTCATTTATGCCAATGTGACTGAATAAAAGGCATCCGTTAGTCATTATGAGGAGAAAGTTTCTCAAACTATTGACTCAGTATCTCAACATAATGACTTTGTGATATTAAGTCAATATTGTGAGAAAGTTTCTCATTATTTCTTTTCTCTGTCACATTGGTGAAGGGAAAGGCAGAGATGCTGACTGAGTGTAAAAATGTAAGAATGTAACTGGAAATAAATACCAGCTGACATGTTTATTGATAACAGTCAGGAAATATCAGCTGGCATATTGATCAAAGATCCAAAATATTGGAAAATGTATTGATCATATCCTGATATACTGAATGTCCACAGCTGGCTCTATTAGAGAGTAATCTCATTACCCCGACAACCACTACACTTTTTAATAGAACCAGCTAGATTGTCAGGAAGCGATGAGCCGACCTCTGACCTTTCACCTGAGCGCTGTGACCTTTCACCTCTCCGTGCTGGGAGACGTTTACCCCCTCGCTGCTCGCTCTCTACCCGCTAATGAATATGGAACAGCAGGTTGGCATTAGCGCTGTATCTCTTTATTGACATTCACCACATTTCATATCAAGTCGCTCGGCGGCCAGCTGCATCTGTGCCGAGGTCCGCCCATCTGCTCATGAATATTAATGAGCCGATAGATGTGACTGAGGAGAGAGAGAGGGCACATCAGGATGACAGACGACAGGATTTATTGTCCCCGGGGGTGTTTGGAGCTCTTGTTCGCAGTTCAGGAGAGCATGACTGCACGTTTCCAGACGCATAATATAGTCTGATAATATACTGCCCGGCCAGAAGTATGTGGACAGGCGTTAATGTGCTGCTTTCAGTCTTTACAACACATCTCGGCTTCATTAAAAGCACAAAACTGAGCTGAGAAACTTCACAAACAACCATCACACCTGCTAACTAATTAGCTCCTCGTCACCAGCAGTAACAAGGTCTCAAAGATTTTCCTTTATTGGTCCTGAGGGACGTCGACCAAACTGCAAAAACAAGACCCGATGTGGACAGGGAGTGTCCATATACTGTGATGTGATTTTAATTCTTAAACACAGTTGAAACAGACGACACTGAAAAATTTAAGTAACACAAACTCAGTTTTGAAAAAGATTCTTGATTAAGCAGCTTTTAACAATAATTTCAAGTGACATTAACTTATTTTTGTAAGTTACAGAAACATTTCTGATTAAGTAGTTTTTTTTTCTGGGTTTTTGTTTTTTTTTACAGTGCAAATTAAAAAAATTACAATATTAAGTCTTTCTTAAAATTACTAAAGCTCCTTGATCAAGAATGTGTTGTTTAACTTAATTTCAACTTAAATTGAGTCTGTTCAATTCTTTTAACTGACTTGTTTACTGGTGTACTTCAGACTCCTCAGGCCGAGGCGTGGATATAAAATTTCACTCTGAATATCAAATAAAACAAACTCTGTGGAATCAAGAGCAGCAGCTTTATTTTCAGGCTCCATGAATATCAAATGAAAGAAAGTATTAGGATTCAAAACAGCTGCTTTTATTTTCAACCAGTGAACCAAAACCTCTAAAATTTTACTCAAAGATTCATCTAAAGACTCAGGTGCATCAGGATACATATTTAACTTAAAAAATACTATTGAATACTCCAAAGACTATTAAAGCAGAATTACTATCTGATTTCTAGCCAATATTTGTATATCGAGCCCATTTGGGATATAAAGTGCTCTATATGGGATATAATGTGCTCTATATAATGGCCTCTATATGGGATATAATGTGCTCTATATTATGGGCTCTATTTGGGATATAATGGGCTCTATATTATGGGCTCTATATGGGATATAATGGGCTCTATATTATGGGCTCTATATGGGATATAATGGGCTCTATATAATGGGCTCTGTATGGGCTATATAATGCTTATGGGATATAATGCCTATATTATGGGATCTATTTGGGATATAATGGGCTCTATATAATGGGCTCTATATGGGATATAATGGGCTCTATATAATGGGCTCTATATGGGATATAATGTGCTCTATATAATGGGCTCTATATGGGATATAATGTGCTCTATATAATGGGCTCTATATGGGATATAATGGGCTCTATATGGGATATATATATAATATATAATACATACAGAGATACAAATGTCAATAAAATACAATAAAATTGATTTTCATTGATTCATCAGACGTCTGGATCACAAGTTATCAGAGTTATCTCAACTTAAACAAGCTGAGCTAATGTTAGCAGCATTTTGGCTAAGTCTGTTAGCATGAGATCATAATCTGGGACCATGATCCAACGCTGCTTCACCACATCATCAAACTTCCTTTTTCATTATAGTTTTGATGTTAGAGACCCTCCAGTGGCAGAAATGACACACTGTACTGGATTTAATTCATCAGCCGGCAGTCTTCCTCCGGTTGTTTCTGGATTATGTTGTGGAGTTAGTCTGGTCTCAGGTCAGTTTGTAGGTCAGTTTCATAATGACACTGTGTGACATAACAGAAACATGCTGCGGTGGATTTACTGGCTGGGTCACCGCAGGACAGAACACATGTTGGGTCGAACAGAGCCAACAGCTGGACCGCGCTGCTTCAGTCCAGATGTTGTCTTCTGATCCAGAAACTGGGTTAAAATGCTGTAGTGTTGGTTCAGATCCTACATCTGTTTATCGTGTTCATTAATGACATTACAGCACTTTAAATAAACGTATTTATGTTTCTGATATTACACTAAATATTAGAGAGATATAGTTAGTTTATTGAATATACTTTATACAATACAAAAAGGGTTACGGTTAGGGTTAGGGTCTCATCTTTCACTGTATCCTGACAGTCGAACATGAGACAGATAATCTGTGAAACAATTTGATTCGTCTGGCTCCTCCTTGTGGCTCCGAATGGTATCTGCGAGGATCCACCGGGCCCGAACGAAAACGACCAATCACAGCCGAGAAAGATAGTCGATTGTTGAGTCTCATTCCCAGGGTCCCAAAGTGTTTGTATTTGATGACCAGAGAATGAGATTAAACCTCGGAGCTATTAGCTTTAGCTACCCTACACACTGTACCTTTAAGTACAGTACTGGAGTAAAGTCAGTGGCTTATGATATTGATGATTGTATCAGTTCCATTAGAATGTTGCTGGACGATTGATTGATCATTGATCATTAATCATTATGTTTCACCATCAGCTCTCAGCAGTCATCAGTACAGACCTCTGTGTCTCCTGTGAGTCCACGAACACAGACCCTCATCCAGAGAGAGAGAGAGAGAGAGAGAGAGAGAGAGAGAGGGGAAAGAGCTAATCTCTCTCTCTCTCTCAGCAGGTTGTGTGTAATCTGTTCACAGCTGGAGCCACAGACACACACAGACACACACACACACACACACACACACACATAACTTACTGTCTGTTGATTACTGGCTAATTTGCATAACACACCCTGCTGTGAGCTCACACACACACACTCTCTCCTGCTGTGCTCGGTGTCAATGCGACTGATCGGATCGCAGTTTTATTATCAGAGAAACAAAAGACTGCAGCTAATGTGATTCTATCGTCCTCCATCGGTTTGTGGAGAACTGTCTGAAGCCTCCAGTTTGGCGTTATGGACATCGCCATGACAGTTTGTTGGAGCCAGCGGAGGTCACGTACTCTACTGTGTGTCACGATCTGGTATTGTGAACAGATTTGAGAGAAATAATCAACAACAGAATCTGGATCCATATCTGATCAGCACTGTTTGACAGTTTGATCTGAGTTTGGTGCGTTGAGCTGGACGGACTCACTGAGAATGAGCTGTCAATCACAAGGTAGCCCCACCCTAAAGCATACCCTGCTTTATGGTCTGTTTTACTCTAAATGGGACCATCAGTTACTAAATGAACATCATGCTGTATGGAAGAAGACTGAAACTAGAGACTGAGACCAGAAACTCATCAGGAAACTGTTTACTGAGGGAATAAATCAACTGAGAAGTTGATTCATTTCGCCATAAGACTCAATACTATTGGCGCTCCCCCTGCTGGCTGTTACATAGAATGCAGGTTTAAGACACTTCACGGACCCAGAAGCTCGGTCCATTGTATTTACACGTTCTCCCTCAATTATTTGGACTAATGTTGTTGTTTTATTTTTCCTCAGTGAAAGTCTCTCTCTCTCTCTCTCTCTCTCTCTCTCTCTCTCTCTCTCTCTCACACACACACACACACACACACACACACACACACACACAATTCAATTCATTAATCTTTATTGGTGAACAATATTGCCAAAGCATCAAGGATAAAATGATTTAATAACAAGAGGAGAAAAAAAATACAATTTATTAAGTAAAATAAAAACAACAAGAAGTTGTAAGTGTGTGTGTGTGTGTGTGTGTGTGTGTGTGTGTGTGTGTGTGTGTGTGTGTGTGCTGCGTGTGTGTGTTCATCAGTATTCCCGCCCTCACACAGAAAGCAAACACAGAGCCGATCACGTACTGCGCTGACATTTCACCCAAACACTGCTGCAATAATAAAACCATCATGTTTGCAGCAGCAGCAGAAGGACCTCGAGGGTCGGACGTATTTCAGTGAAACAACTGGACGACGCGGCTCCGATTTCTGATATTTGCTGCAAATATGAATGATGAATCATGATGAATCCTGATGACTTTAACAACCTCCTGACCTTTTGTCTGGCGTCACCCTCCAACTCTAAACCCTAAAAATCCCATTAAAGCTCCAGTGTGTCAGACTGACTGAATATAATAAAGACCAACGTAGATTTATTTAAAGCTGTGAAAAGGTGACTAATAATAATAATTATGGTTATTGTTGTGTCTTTATCAATTAATTAATTAATTAATTGCAATCAAAAGTTTCTCCGTACCGGCCCTCTTCCTGTTGAAATGACCACACCGGTGAGTTTTCCAACAGGAAGTCGACGAGTCAGATTGTGAGCTTGCTGCAGCTAAACTTTGGCTTTTGTTTATTTGTTTGTTTGTTGTCCAGAAGTTGAGGCTCCGCCGGGGGGAAGCAGCTGATTGGTTGACCTTTCTTGGGGAGGTCAGGGGTCGAAGGCCATGGCGGGCCGACTCCTCCTCTTCCTGTTCATCTCGGTGACGCTCTGCCACGCCCACTTCCCATCTGGCCAGCGTCTGAAGCCCCGCCTCCAGAGAGACCGCCGCAACATCCGGCCGAACATCATCCTCATCCTGACCGACGACCAGGACCAGGAGCTGGGTGAGTGACAGATATTAGGCTGTTATTAGCATCAATAATTAATTTACTTAATTAATTTACTGTTATTGTCACTATTGATACTTTTACTGTTGATAACACTAATGACTGACACAGCTAAGCCCAGACCTCCTTAGTTACTGTTGCTACGCCTGTCAATCTGGAACCAGCAGTTTACAATGAATGGATTTACTACAGTTCCCATAATGCCCCAGCACTGCACATGCTCTCTCTGTCTCTGTAGGTTCGATGCAGGCGATGAATAAGACTCGCCGTATCATGGAGGAGGGCGGGACTTCCTTCTCCAACGCCTTTGTGACCACGCCCATGTGCTGTCCGTCACGTTCGAGCATGCTCACTGGGAAGTAAGAGACGTCCATCTTTACCCGAATTACTGACTCATTTTCTGGGGCGCCACCGACTCTAGTCTCCTAGTCATCTCATGTTATATATTTATATATATATATATATATTAATTAAATTATCTAAATATCTGTATTTTAACAGCGGCCCGTGTTTCTGAATGTGTCAGAACAACCAGCAAATAGACTGAATATTTACAATGCTTTAGATACAGGGCATAGGTCAGTGCTTTAGATACAGGCCAAACAGCTTTTGCTTCTTTGGGGTCCACAGGTTCTATGACTTGTTCTCACTCCCAGTCCAGGTACAGACAGCTAATGGGATCACTGACTAGCTAACAGCAGCTCGTACAGTTAGCACACGCAGCAGTGCAGCAGTCAGAGACTTCCTGTGTTACAAGAGAAAAGGTCCGTGTTGCGACAATCCTCTGATACTTTGGTCCCGGTGACAAGGTGCAGCTCCTGAACGCAGTTTAATTTTGTTTTTGTTTTTCTGCAACTGACTGATGGAAAGTGCGTCAATTAAATCTCTTCGACTGTTAGACTATACAGGAAGACAGCTCTAAATTTGATGCACCAAAATGACAAAACCTACATCTGACTTTTGATTTTAACTGTCGACTGTAACTAAAAACACATAAATATGTAATTTTAAATCAAATGAACTAAACATGATTTTTTGTTTTTAAGGAAAAACACATTTATTTTATTTTGGTTTTTTAAAATATATTTTTAAAAGAAAATGGAGACGAACATGCAGCCCACTCTCTCTCTCTGCAGGTACGTCCACAACCACAACACCTACACCAACAATGAGAACTGTTCCTCGATGTCATGGCAACGGCAGCACGAGCCGCGGACCTTCGGGGTCTACCTCAACAACACCGGATACAGGACAGGTACACACACACACACACACACACACACACAACACCTACGCACACAGAGGCTTTTATTACTGCTGTGATCTGACTGTTTACCTGTGTGTGTGTGTGTGTGTGTGTGTGTGTATGTGTCCAGCCTTTTTCGGGAAGTACCTGAACGAGTACAACGGCTCGTACGTCCCCTCCGGGTGGAGGGAGTGGCTCGGTTTGGTGAAGAACAGCCGCTTCTACAACTACACACTGAGCCGCAACGGAGTCCGAGAGAAACACGGAGCTCAGTACCCACAGGCAGGGACACACAACACACAGTACACAACAACTACAACAACAACAACAACAGTTCACACAATAGGAAGAAAAGGCACATTTCCGCCAATGTGACGGAAAAAAGGATTCTGTTGATGAGTTAAAGAGAATAATTATTATTGTTTTTATTATTATTGGAGAGCTGATTGGAGTTTTTTGAATTTATTGAAAATTTATACATTTTTCTATAATTAGTATCAAGTTATTTGGTTATTTCCAGGAAACTAATTGAAACATTATTAAGAAATTATTCATAAACCAGGAATATAAAGAGATATATTATTATATAATGACTCAGCATTTACATACATTTGTTTCAGTACATTAAATTTGAGGAAAATAAAACAATGATATGTTTCTGTCACCAGGACTATCTGACCGACCTGATCACGGCCGAGTCCATCCGCTACTTCCGCTCCTCGAAGCGAGTTTACCCTCACCGACCGGTGCTGATGGTCCTGAGCCACGCTGCGCCACACGGGCCTGAAGACTCTGCGCCGCAGTACAGCACGGCGTTTCCTAACGCATCACAGCACATGTAGGCCCACACACACACACACACACACACACACACACACACACACAGTTAGACTAAGCTGCTGTAATCCAGCTGAACAATGGAGCCGCTCCAACACTGCAGGATAAATCCTCCATAATGTATGTTAATGAATACACAGGTCTTATTTCATTTCTGTACGGAAAAACTTTAATTTCTCACTGAAAACGTGACTCAGGAGTTAAAGTCAGTCTGTCTTAGAGACACATCTGTCTGTCTGCCTGTGTCTGTTTATGAGCGCACAGACAGGTCAGACCATCTTTTACTGATATATAAACAGACGCCGGAGGAAACGCCGGCTGCACTCCCGCCGTCAGGAGAGCATTTAAATCCCATTCAAAGCTTGCCAGAAAACCCACTGCTGAAATACTGGGAACAGACAGTAATCCCTAATTCCTCTGAAAGGAATAATACAACAAAGTCGCTGTAGAACGACGTGCTGGTAAAAGCCAAATCACTGAAAAGTGGAGTATCGACTGGAAACAGATTTAAACTTTGTGAACAGGACAGAAAAGCAACCATCAGGCTGTGATTTACTTTAATAATATACAATATTTTATCTGTTTGAATTCATGGTGAGTTTTTTTAGGCTTTATGTGGCCTTTGGTCAGTTCAGAAAAACTGGATGAAAGAATCTGTTTTCTCTTCCCACAAAAGTAAAATAACAGGAATTCAGTAAATAAAGACAAAATAATTCTTCAGCTGGGTTTCGGGTGAACGTGCAGGCTGTCCTCTGAAAAACAGACAGATCAATAATGATAATCATAATCACTACGTTTTGGACTCCATAAACGTCACATACTTTGACCCTCATCCCTACATAGAAACACAGAAATTAGTCCACAGGCAGCAGAGGAAGTCGTAATCTTTGTGTTCTGGACAAACATGTTGACGTGTTGTATTCGGAACAATGAACCGAAACTTTTAATTCGGTTTCCACATTGTACAGAAAGTAAGAAGCCGAGGCGAGTTTATTTATATCGGCCATTATGCACACAAAGGCAAATCAAGGTCTTTACATAATGTATAAGAGACATTAAATAAGGATACGGCACTAAACATTTATACAGAAATTAAAAATTCAAACAACTCTAACAGTCACACTCGCTGCTCCGCGAGGATAAAAACAAACATGGAGGAAACTTCAGAGACAGTAAATGTAACGGGAAGTCTTAAACCTGCATTCTGTGTAACGACCAGCAGGGGGGGCAGCGCCACTGGCTGCAATAAAAGACAGATGGTATTGAGTCTTATAGCGGATGAGCCGACTTGATTTATGAGCTCAGTAAACAGTTTCCTGGTGAGTTTCTGGTCTCAGTCTCTAGTTTCAGTCTTCTTCCATACAGCATGATGTTCATTTAGTAAAACAGATGATTGACGCAGCCAATTAGGAGGCGCTCAACTCGCAGTATGTCACCTCCCCCAGCTCCGATAAAACGACACGGCCACGACCATAACGCCAAACTTGAGGCTTCAAAACAGTTCTCCACAAACCAATGGGTGACGACAGATTCCCACTAAAGAAAGACTCCCAGCAGCCGGTCTGTACTCGCTGTCGGACTGACTCAGACTGACTCAGACTGACTCGGACTGACTCGAACTGATGGTGCTGGTGTGATCTTCCAACCAGATGCAGATGTTTCCAGCTGTCTGGTCAGGAGGAAGCAGAGCAGAGTGTGATGTTGAAGGTTATTTCTGTCCCCAACGCAGAGATTGAATTATGTATCTGCTGAGGAGGAGGAGGAGGAGGATGGGAGTCATTCATTATCCACACAGAACTCATTGTAGGAACATCCTCTGTTACTGACACAGCGGGAGCACAGTGTGTGTGTGTGTGTGTGTGTGTGTGTGTGTGTGTGTGGAGTAATGAGAGCAGATGCTGCTGATCATTAATAACACACACACACACACACACACACACACACACACACACCTCTAAAAGCTGATAAACTGAACAATGAACCCAAACAGTGAACACAGTCGCTGCAGGAGGTTTGTGTGAAACCAGAGATTCTCTGTACTGTGTGGTTCTGTAATATTTCTCATGCAGGACGATGCTGTTTATCAGTGAACTCTGTGAATGCTGATATAGATCTGCTGCATAATTAAAGTCTTTGCTGTTAAAATGAAGCTCTGACCCTCGTGTTGGGAAACGTTAACTTAAGGACGAGAAAATACATTTTAAGAAATACAGTCGACAACATTAAAGTCAGTTCAAAGTTTAATATAAATGAACACAAAATCATTTGCATGAATAAAACCCGACTACAATAAGTGATCAGTTAATAACTAATAACAGCACGGAGCCGTCTGAGGAACAACCGCTGTCCTCATCAGCGGTTTCTATGGCGACTGATTACCGCCGGCTGTGTCTCAGGAGGTAGAGCGGATTGTTAATAATCAGAAGGTTGGCGGTTCGATCCCTGCCTCCTCCGGCTCCGTGTCTTTGAGCAACATGCTGAACCCCAACACCTAAAGCCTGGCTAATGGCTAACGGCTAACAGCTGCCAGAGCCATGTAGAGAGAAACGAGGCGCTGCGTAGTTCCTCTTCTCACCTGTCACTTCACTTTCACACGTTATTAGATGTTCTCAAGTTCCTCTCTCCACCTTCCTCTCTCCACCTTCCTCTTCCTCCTCAGCACTCCCAGTTATAACTACGCTCCCAACCTGGACAAACACTGGATCATGCGTTACACCGGCCCCATGAAGCCGATCCACATGGAGTTCACCAACGTGCTGCAGAGGAAACGACTGCAGACGCTGCTGTCTGTGGACGACAGCGTGGAGAAGGTACACACACACACACACACACACACACACACACACACACACACACACACACACACACACACACACACACACACACACACACACACACAGACACACACACACACCTGTTCCTGCTCATACCTGCAGGATCAAAAACGAAACAATATCTAACAGGTCTCCTCTGTCTGTCTGTCTCTCTGTCTGTCTCGTCTGTCTGTCTGTCTGTCTGTCTGTCTGTCTCAGCTGTACAACATGCTGGTGGAAACCGGCGAGTTGGAGAACACCTACATCATCTACACGTCAGATCACGGCTACCACATCGGACAGTTCGGCCTCGTCAAAGGTAAAAAGCTGGTTTCTGATGGACTGAACGAACTCATTAAGACCTTTAACTATCGTTATAAAACCCTGAACTCTACAGCTCTTCTTTCTTTTAGTTCATTAATTAATCGATTCAGTGTACTGTCACAGACGGTTAAAGGAACCAGGAGACATTCACATTAAAGATCAGATCAGAAAAGTTTGATCGAATCTTTGACGACTAATCGATCAACCGTTGCAGCTGTAGTTGGGACTCCTTTAAGTGAACGCTGTGTGTGTGTTTGCAGGTAAATCAATGCCGTACGAGTTTGACATCAGAGTGCCGTTCTACATCAGAGGACCCAACGTGGAGCAAGGCAGCATGTAAACACACACTCACCACTTCCTGTTTCCTGTTTGTGAACATTACAGTCATCAAAACACCCTCCTCATCATCAGCTGATCAATAACACGGACAGGGCTTTAATGTCTGGACGACTGGATTTTCCTTCCAGATTGTAGACTTTAGATTTTAACTGCTCGTTGTCTTCAGCTAGCATAGCAGTTAGCATCTTTTTTTGTGTGGTTGTGGAAAAATTCAGAAGTTCCTGTTTGGACTGATCAAGTCAGAAGTTCGTTTGGAGCTGATCAGAAGCAGAAGTTCCTGTTTGGATCTGATCAAGTTCAGAAGTTTCTGTTTGGATCTGATCAAGTTCAGAAGTTTCTGTTTGGATCTGATCAAGTTCAGAAGTTCAGTTTCCAGAGATTTCAATTAATGTTGTACGGGCTAACTAGCTAACAGCGACAGTTAGCTTCTTTTAGCAACAAGTCCATCAGGAAACTCCATAAATCACCTCGGTACCGCTGTCTGTCTGTCTGTCTGTCTGTCTGTCTGTCTGTCTGTCCTCTGCTGTCTGTCTGTCTGTCTGTCTGTCTGTCTGTCCTCTGTCTGTCTGTCTGTCTGTCTGTCTGTCTGTCTGTCTGTCCTCTGTCTGTCTGTCTGTCTGTCTGTCTGTCTGTCTGTCCTCTGTCTGTCTGTCTGTCTGTCTGTCTGTCTGTCTGTCTGTCTGTCTGTCTGTCTGTCTGTCTGTCCTCTGTCTGTCTGTCTGTCTCTGAGGTTGTGTTCACTGGGAGGCTGCTGAGCCCCGTTCAGTTGCTAACGCTAACGGCAATGTGTGTGTGTTTGTGTGTGTGTGTGTGTGTGTGTGTGTGTTGTGTGTGTGTGTGTGTGTGTGTGTGTGTGTGTGTATGTGTGTGTGTGTGTGTGTGTGTGTGTGTGTGTGTGTGTGTGTGTGTGTGTGTGTGTGTGTGTGTGTGTGTGTGTGTGTGTGTGTGTGTTACTGTGTGTGTGTGTGTGTGTGTGTGTGTGTGCGCTATGTGTGTGTGTGTGTGTGTGCTATGTCTGTGTGTGTGTGTTAGTGTGTGTGTGTGTGTGTGTGTGTGCTATGTGTGTGTGTGTGTGTGCTATGTCTGTGTGTGTGTTTAGTGTGCGTGTCTGTGTGTGTGTGTGTGTGTGTGTGTGCTATGTGTGTGTGTGCTATGTGTGTGTGTGTGTGTGTGTGTGTGTGTGTGTGTGTGTGTGTGTGTGTGTGTGTGTGTGTGTGCTATGTGTGTGTGTGTGTGTGTGTGTGTGTGTGTGTGTGTTGTGTGTGTGTGTGTGTGTGTGTGTGTGTGTCTGTGGTAAAGTAGATTACTGCAGTCGGAGCTGGTCCACGAGGTGATCACGAGTTCAGAGAAAGCTGCATTCCCTTCACACCGCACACATTATCATTATACTAAACACATATTTAACATTTAAACCGTCACTGAAACTTTCTGCTCGTATCACGAGGGCTGTTTCTTTACTTATTCTGTGTGTAATTAATGTTTAACGTTAAAGTCATAAAGACAAAGAACTGTTGGAAACAATGAATAATGAGTTGTAGATGTTGTTGTGTATTAATTGTGTTTGTTTATGTTTATTTGTGTGTGTCAGAAACCCTCACATGGTTCTGAACATCGATCTGGCTCCGACCATCCTGGACATCGCCGGCCTCGACACTCCTCCAGACATGGACGGGAAGTCGATACTGTCTCTGCTGGACACTGACAAACCTGCCAACAGGTACAAGCAGAAGGTTTAATCATAACAAAAGTTATCTCAGACACTTTTCAGATGCAGCAGGTCCAGAACGTACTCCTTATTAAATTATTTACAGACAACAAAACAATCAGTGCTACAGCCGACCAGACTCCATTGAAAAAAACTGTAATTTTACCCTGCAGATAATCAGACTTTTTCTCTTTCCAACAATCATAAACTGTGGTTGGGTGGAAATAAATCCATTCAATCATTCTCTGATAGCATTATGGAAAGGATCCCTACAGAGATAGACCTTAGTTTAACCAGAAACAGCCGTAATATCACTATCACTCTCCACCAGACTCCAGAGACAAAAATGCTAATTTTACATCTCATTGTACCTTCATTTAAACTGGACAGAAACCGAATAAAACTAAAACCAAAACCGTCTTTATTAGTCTTTCCAACAATCACCAACTCTGGTTTGGTGGAAATAAATCCTTAAATCACAGAGTTAGACATAGCAGTGTGAGCTAACATTAACTAATCCATGATGATAAATGCGCCTGTCAAAGTGCGTCCACTAAAGGTTTTTTCCACTGACAGCAGCTATATACTGAAGTATATAAAAGGTACTTTACAGTTGTACCATAAAAGTAGAGTTTATGCAGTATTTATACATTTTATACGGGCAGATATGCATATTCATTAAGTGAAGTTATCCAGAGAGTGAACGGGTTAATGACTCATAAAATGTGCCTGTGATATTATTACTGCAGTAAAAGGTTAACAGTGTTCTGTGCTAACCGGTTTGTTGAAGGCAGAGGTCAGAGGAGGGAAGACGCTCGCTGAAGCAAACCATCAGTATGTAAATCATCCTCCTGCTGCTGGTGCAGCGGGACGCCACTCAGCTGTAACACCCTAATTTAAACACCTGGGCGCAGAAACACAGCGAGAGCCATCTGCTGCGCCTGCAGGGACAGAAATCCTCCATTAATATTCTCAACAATCAAAGTATAGACAAAGGCGAACGTCAGGGCCAGGAGGTCGGAGGTTGTCAGGTTGTCAAACGGATTGTGATCCAACGTCGTTATTCCTTTAAAGAGATCTCTGAACCCTGAATGTTAGGAGGATCCCGGCTGTTTGAACACGTTTGTAATCGGCTCTGTACGTCCTGGCAAGTGCAGCGAGAGACCGTATCTGTTCCCTCTTTCTTTCTCGTCTCCTCTGTGAAGAACAGAGCAATCCGTCCCCGTTGGGAACGCAGACTGTAGCTGAAAGACTGATTACACTGAAGTCAAACACTGCCGCTGGGGTCAGTTCCTAATATCTCGCTGTAGTTGTCTCTTTTATATCTGGATGCAAAATAAAAGCTTGAGCGGTTCATGTTAATGAAGTTTGGTGTGGCACAAAAACCTCTTGGTTAGGTGTAGACAAAGTTATCGACTGCAGCTTTACAGAGTCACATTTTCCTCAGATTATTTCTGCAATCACTGAAATTTCGAAACCCTAAAGAAATATATAAATATATCTATAAATATCCCAAATTAGCACCATTAAAAGTTGCTGCTGTTATTATATACAGACAACTCTCAGTGTGGATTACACTGAAGAAAACTTCAAAACGTGGTCATTTTCAGTTCTGCAGATTAATTTATAAATATAAATGTTAGTCTTTTTCTCTGGTTTCCAGGCAGATTTATCTGTGTTTATTTAGCAGCTTTTATTATCAGAGATAATGACATCCTCGGGAAGTCACACTGGATCTATAAGTGTGTGTGTGTGTGTGTGTGTGTGTGTGTGTGTGTGTGTGTGTGTGTGTCAGGTTCGACTGACTGTGCGATTTCTGACGCATATCGTTTAAAGCTCCTCAATGAGCTGCTGTGTCTCCTCTCGTACTGGAATACATTACACTTTAAAAACATTAAACACATCGCTGGTGCAGTAAACACACCAACAAACGTCTCAACTACAGCTCGCGTGGGAAAGTACGAAGTACAAATACACTGAAAATAACCACTGATAAAAATACTGTAATTTTCCTATAACTAAAATACAGTTTTTAGCTTTAATTTGACTTAAAATCTGTCTATTTTGTCTTTTTAATGTTTAATAACACTGTAAAACCAATGTAACGAGCAACAACTAATACTTTTTTACTGTTAATGTCACAAATTTTTACATAATTTGAGAACTATATTAACAGGATTAAACTTGAATTTAACAGTTACAGATTTTTCTGTGTATGTGTGCAAGTAAATTCACTTAAGACTATTTTTGTAGTTGTATTATATTTAAAAAGAATACAGAAAAAATCATGATAAACTTACAGGTTTTATTTACAGTGTAAATAATTCAGTTCTGTTCTTATTTATTTTACTTTCTACTTTACATGAAGTTCTTTCTGCTCCTTACTTTAGTTTTAATGCATTTTAATGCAATTTTGCATCATTGCACGCGTTCCCAGCATCAGCACTGGAGCACAGCACGCATGGCGGGCGAAACATGATGAAAAAAAAACATGAAAGATGTAACAACAAGAGCGGAGAGCCTCTGCCCTGTTTGAAGTTTAAAGCTTTTATACTCTGAGTACATCTCACAGCCTGTACTTGTTCATTTCCACTGGAGTAAAGAATCAGTGCTTCTGCTTTTATTGTGAGTGTGTCTGTACTTCCACCGGAGTGAAGAGTTGAATAAACTTTATTATCTTGGGCACGGTGCTGCAATCTGTTGCTTCACAGAAACACTGACAATATGGCAGCTTAAAAAGAGGCTGAGAAACTATACGGATTAAAGCGCTGATTTATTTATTACACATGATTCAGTGTCGGAGTCCAGCAGCCTGATAGAAGCTGGGATGATAACCTCTGTCTGTTTGAGTTGGCACACAGAGTCTTCTTCCTGATGGCAGACGTTTTATTCAGAGCTCAGTTTGTTTCCTTCTGTACAGGCTCTTATTCGGTCCTTTTGTGCGTGCTGGCGGGCCACTGCTTCTCAGCTGCACTGTTAGGTTGCCAAACCGCTGTCTAATGTTGCTCTCTAGAACCGACCAGTAAAACAGCAGCATGGTCTGGCTGCTCAGTCCGTACAGTCTCAATCGCCTCAGGAGGTCTCTGCTGGCTTATAGGCTAAAGGGAAGACCCCCAAAGGTGAGATACCCCGACTGGAGGTAGAACAAAGCACAGCGGCGTTTTTCATATTCTCCAAGGCTGTGGTTCCCAACATTTGTCATTAAGGAACCTTTTTCTATCACTGAGCAAACTATGTTTTATGTATATTTCATATTATATTCAATAATAACAATAACAGCAGAGAACAGCTGATAAACTGAATTATTAAAACAAACAGTGAACTGCAGGAAGGTTGTGTAAATGAGCAGATTGTTTCCTGTGAATATTGATAATGAGTTTTCCTGATACTTTTAGGAACTTTTCTTTATTTTTAACAACTTTAAAGACTTAATATGCTTCTTTTTTGACAAATTCAGTGTTTTATTTTCCCTGAAACTCAAATGAGTCTGTTTATCAGAGAGTGAAGGCTCTATGAAAATAGTTTAAAAATAACATTCATTTATTTTTCTTTAAAGAAATTAATGAAATGCTATAGCTCAGCATTTCAATTTCAATTTCTTTAAAGAAATGTTTTTAAAGTTTTCTTATACCCCATAAAAAAGATCTTGCAACCAAGCAAAAAAAAAAAAAAATAGAAAAGGCAACTATATTATATATTCATACATACATGTGTAAGTCAACCTGAATCTGCTGCACTAGAACCATCAGGGTTCAGTGTTGGCAGCGTAATCCACTGGATGTAATCTAATCTGAATACTTCTCTTGTACATTATGCTACAGAAATGGACGTATACTCCACATTCAGCCTTTACTGAGCACTCAGTAACTACTTTACAACAGTGTTTTTCACTCAGCACTATTTTAAACTGTTGTTGTTTCTGCGAATTGATAAAGAAAAAAGACGAGTGGAAAAAGTCCTGCAGTTGTTTCCACTAAAATCTAAATATTATTCCTGAAAGTTAAAGTTACAAACATCCCACAATAGAAACCAGATGGAGTTGATGGGAGGACAGGGTGTGTGTGTGTGTGTGTGTGTGAATGTAATATGAATGTGATATTTGTACATGTGGCACTAAAGAGGAGCCGCAACCACAACTTTGAATTTTTCATCGAACTGGAGTGTAATTGTGTGAAGTGACGTCAGCGCGGCGCTTTCAGCAGCTCATCGAGCAGACTCTGATCCTGGAGCTGATGTTACCGATCTAAAACAGAGGAAGGACGGAGGGCGGAGGTGACGACTGCGTTAAAAACAGCTGCTGAACTCGTGCAGCAACTGAACTAACACCGCTGTTTTCTTTTTCTGCAGATTCCAGGTGAACAAGAAGCCGAAGGTGTGGAGAGACTCCTTCCTGGTGGAGAGAGGGTAAATAAACATCATATTATATGTATGTATATCAGGTGTGTTTCCAACCTGTGTGCTCGTGTTTCTTCCTATCAGACTTCTTTCTGATGATGTTGTAACGTTATTATACATAGGAAAAATAAGACCCAACCCTCACTGAGTCACAGGAGGTTCTGTTAGACCTTTGACTCAGATAAAGAAACTTTAATCAGGAAAAGAACAGTCTCAGAGACAGAAAGACGCCGTCTGTTCATCTGTTAACAGGAAGTTGCTGCACCAGCGCGTCGAGGGAAAGGAAGTTTCGCAGGAGGAGAACTTCCTGCCCAAATACCAACGAGTAAAAGACCTCTGTCAGAGAGCCGAGTACCAGACGCCCTGTCAGCAGACCGGACAGGTACAGTAATCCATTACAGTTACTTTATATCCCATTACTCTACTTTATATCCCATTACTTTACTTTATATCCTATTACTCTACCTTATATCCCATTACTCTACCTTATATCCCATTACTCTACCTTATATCCCATTACTCTACTTTATATCCTATTACTCTACCTTATATCCCATTACTCTACCTTATATCCCATTACTCTACTTTATATCCATTACACCTATATCCCATTCTCACAACCTATTACCACCTTATATCCCATTACCTACTTTATATCCTATTACTCACCTTATATCCCATTACTCTACCTTATATCCCATTACTCACCTTATATCCCATTACCACTATATCCATTACTACCAATCCCAACCACTTTATATCCCATACCACCAATCCCATTACCACCAATCCCATTACCACATATCCATTACCACCAATCCCAACCACTTTATATCCTATTACACCTATATCCCATTACCACCTAATCCCATTACCACCTAACCTATTACCTACCTATATCCCAACACATATCCATTACCACCTATATCCCATTACTCTACCTTATATCCCATTACTCTACTTTATATCCCATTACTCTACCTTATATCCCATTACTCTACCTTATATCCTATTACTCTACCTTATATCCCATTACTCTACTTTATATCCTATTACTCTACCTTATATCCCATTACTCTACCTTATATCCCATTACTCTACCTTATATCCTATTACTCTACCTTATATCGCATTGCTTTACTGCTAATTCCCATTAATTTGCTCTTGTAAATCTTAATAAAATTACTTCAATTCAAAGGAAGTTTTTTTTTTAAAACGCAGGAACTCTGCTGCCTTAAGAAACAAACAGAGTAAGAATTGAAACCAGATGTGTCTCAGACAGATAACAGCACTGACGGCAGTAACAGCACTGACAGCAGTAACACAGTAACACATGACAGCAGTAACAGCACTGACAGCAGATAACAGCATTGGCAGCAGTAACTGACAGCAGTAACAGCACTGACAGCACTGACAGCAGTAACTGACAGCACTGACAGCAGTAACAGCACTGACAGCAGTAACAGCAGTAACAGCACTGACAACAGTAACTGACAGCAGTAACTGACAGCAGTAACAGCACTGACAGCAGTAACAGCACTGACTGCACTGACAACAGTAACTGACAGCAGTAACGGCACTGAAAGCAGTAACTGACAGCAGTAACAGCACTGACAGCACTGACAACACTGACAACAGTAACTGACAGCAGTAACAGCACTGACAGCACTGACAACAGTAACTGACAGCAGTAACAGCAGTAACAGCACAGCAGCAGCAGTAACTGACAGCACTGACAACACTGACAACAGTAACTGACAGCAGTAACAGCAGTAACAGCACTGACAGCAGTAACTGACAGCAGTAACAGCACTGACAGCACTGACAACAGTAACTGACAGCAGTAACAGCAGTAACAGCACTGACAGCACTGACAGCAGTAACTGACAGCAGTAACAGCACTGACAGCACTGACAACAGTAACTGACAGCAGTAACAGCACTGACAGCACTGACAACAGTAACTGACAGCAGTAACAGCACTGACAGCACTGACAACAGTAACTGACAGCAGTAACGGCACTGAGAGCAGTAACAGCACTGACAGCAGTAACAGCACTGACAGCAGTAACAGCAGTAACTGACAGCAGTAACTGAGCGTAACAGAGTAACAGCATGACAGCAGTAACAGCACTGACAGCAGTAACAGCAGAACAGCAGTAACTGACAGCAGTAACGGCACTGAGAGCAGTAACAGCAGTAACAGCAGTAACAGCACTGACAACAGTAACTGACAGCAGTAACTGACAGCAGTAACAGCACTGACAGCACTGACAGCAGTAACTGACAGCACTGACAGCAGTAACAGCACTGACAGCAGTAACAGCAGTAACAGCAGTAACAGCACTGACAGCAGTAACAGCACTGACAGCAGTAACAGCAGTAACAGCAGTAACAGCACTGACAGCAGTAACTGACAGCAGTAACAGCACTGACAGCAGTAACAGCACTGACTGCACTGACAACAGTAACTGACAGCAGTAACGGCACTGACAGCAGTAACAGCACTGACAGCACTGACAACACTGACAACAGTAACTGACAGCAGTAACAGCAGTAACAGCACTGACAGCACTGACAGCAGTAACTGACAGCAGTAACAGCAGTAACAGCACTGACAGCACTGACAGCAGTAACTGACAGCAGTAACAGCACTGACAGCACTGACAACAGTAACTGACAGCAGTAACGGCACTGAGAGCAGTAACAGCACTGAGAGCAGTAACAGCAGAAATCACCAGCAGGAACACAACAGACTAAAAGAACAAAAGAGAACAGAAACTTTCCTCCGACATGTTCAGAGAGTTGTTGTTGTTGTCGCTGTGCTTTCTTGAGTGTTTGAGGTTAATTACACTTGTCGACGAACCCCTCCAGCCGGTTGATTGGTCTCTTAGCAACAGTGTCTGCCGGCTGCTGGATCGCTCTGATAAACAGCCTGGAGGAGGAATCTCTCTGTGTGTGTTTGTAATTAACAATTCAGCCATTTGTCGCTCCTTAATAACCGACTCAGAGCCAGAGTAGAAATTCATTCAGCTGCTGCTAATGAACGACTACACGGAGCCAAAACAGCGACCAGCGCTCAGAGAGACACTGAGGGTTGGTTCTGGTTTCTACGATGTTCAAGTTGATCCCAAAGAGGGCAGATGGATTTGTGAACTGTATTAACTACATTTCCAACTGGTACGCAAATAACTGAAGCAGAAAATCTGTTTTCTGTTGTCTTTCCCTGCGACACCTGAACGCAGCACAGATCCTTACCATTAATCACCGGCTGGCAGGGATTCGGACATCGTGCAGTCATCTCTGGGTGGTGAAAACCGTAGTGTAGAAGCCACACATGATCCATGATCGTCAGTACTCTATATGTGTGTGTTTGTAGAAGTGGCAGTGTGTGGAGGACGCCACGGGGAAACTTCGGCTCTTCAAGTGTAAGAGCGAAGGGGGAGGAGCCAAGAACTTCCAGAGGGGCGTGGCCAGTCGTCAGCGTCCGCTCAGCATCAAGTCTCAGCTGTACCATCAGAACTCCGATGCCTGCAACTGCGACCTCCGCGACCTCCGACCTCTGAACCTGCGGCCCTCCGTGATGAGGCCGTTCAACAAGAAACCGTTCTTCTCCAAGAAGAGTGAGTGTTTGCTGTTAAGTCCAGCAGGGGGCACAATAGAGCTACAATAGAATAAAGTAGCATTAACGAGGTTTGGAGAAGCTTTTTCATACATACATAAAAATACATTTAAAGATCTGTTGAGGAGGATCTATTATCAGAAATATAATATAATACATATCCATAGGTTTGTCTTCATTAGTGTTCACCTGAATATAAGAATCGTTGTGTTTTTATTACCTTAGAATGAGACACAGGTCATCTTACATGCATAGATGCAGTCTGAGGTTGGGGGTTCACAAAAAAATGTATTACATAAAAATAGAGTAAACGTATCGTATACAACAGCAGGTTTGGTTTCACTGTTAATGTTATCAAATCATCAGATCAATAATCTCTATGAGAGTTTTTTGCTTTGACAATTAAAATATACTGTATGTGCACTGAATATGTCGAGGATAACACAACAGTTTCTATTGTGATGCTAATGTGCAGCACTACAACCATAAACTGAGCAAGCCAGAATAATACGTATGCTGCTGAACTCTGGATTCAAATTTTTCACGTGATGTGAGGCCACCGTAGTTTCTCCTTCGTGCTTGGAAGGGGAGGGCGAAACGAGGGCATTGTAATCTGCAACTACACAGCTAGATGCCACTAAATCCTACTCACTGGTCCTTTAAAAAGACATAAAACAACAGTCAAGTTCAGATGAAGAATATCTTCTACAATAAATCCGAGAGCACGAAAGAGTCATCAGCAGCAGAGAATAAGTTCCTGTAGGTTTCAGTTACGTTTAAAGAAAGAAGATACCTGCGATTCCCAATATGCAACTTTAATGTTCGATGTGAAGTTCTCTGTGAGTCCTGCATTATGACTCCTGATTCTAACTGTTCAAAATGTATTTATACTTTATTTATACTTTTACTGTCACTGTGACACTCTCTGTCCTTAGACCCTCGAACCTTTTAATCTGGTTCTCAGTGGAGCTGCTGGAGGGGCATCGGTGGCTTTCTGATGCCCTCCAGTGTCTGTGGTCAGAACTGCACCCTGAGGTTCTCTCTTAGTGAGGAACAGTGTCAGTAGTTACCCCCTAATAAAATGATAATTGTCTCCTCCTACTGATCTGAAATCCAACGATCCAATCACATCCTTGGATTCAGTTTTGTAATCGTAGTAGTTTGGAAGATTAAACATTCAGCAGCTTGAAATATTCTGATTACTTTAATTTTAACAAACAAAACTGGATTTCAATCTTTAAAAAGAACGCAAGTAGTAGTAGCAGAAAAGTTATATCACTAGTAGTGTAACTAATTACTGCTGACAGGGAGTAATAAGTAAAGTAATTACTACTTTAGAAAAGAGTAATAAATAAAAAACTTTGAGTAACTAGCCAACACTGGAGAGAAGGCAGCAGCAGTCAGAGACTTTAGCGTCTGCAGGACGTTACAATGTGTTCCTCTGTGTGCGTCTCAGAGTTCAAGGCCCTGAAGAGTTACTCAAGGAACCGCTACAGCCGCTCCATATCCATGACCAACAGTTACCCTGGTAACGACAGCGTGGTGGGCGGCGCCGACTGGGCTCAGCTGATACGAGACGAGACTGAGGACGAGTTTAGCGGGATGGGAGGAGTTCCCATCGGCAGGGTGGCGTCCAACTCCCTCAAAGTCACACACAGGTGAGCTCGTGTGATACAGCGTCAGTAACCGCATCCTTTACTCGAGCAGAAGTACAGATACTCAAGTTCAAATGTAGTCAAATGAAAACGTTTAAAAGAAGTCTGAAGGACATTACTACCAGCTGTTTCTGTGCAAAGCTACTGCCGTTATATAATCTGTTTAAGACTTAAACTGTGAGCATTTGTATGTTATTAAACACCTCTTATCTAATTACAATCTGTGGTGGCAACTTAATGTCGTATAACAGCTGATAAATCATGACTAACTGAGTGAATGAGGCTCATCAGCACAGATGGAGTTCAGATTGATCCACTGAATCTACCAGCTGTGTAAATCACTGACGACTATTCAGAAAAATAGGAAAAAGTGTGAATTCTGCTCCTTTGTTAGAGGACAAATCCAAAAGAGAAGGACAGAATCTTCCGTAATGTCGAGTGAATAAAACTGTTAATAAAACAGGTCTGACAGACACTTAATCAGGATCCAACAGTGATAGCATGGGCCATATAAAAGCATATACATGTTACAGAAAAGTGCATCTACAATCAAGCATAATGACTATAAATGAATAAGTTATAAATATTAACAATGACCCAACAAATCATTTTCAGTAAAGTGAGAATATGTTCATTGATTGTAGGTATACTGCCGCTCACAGCTGCTGTATAATCCACTAAATCCATTAATCCATTAAGTGTTCGTCAGACAGATGAAGATCTGTTTTATTGCCCATATTGTTCAAAGAATAAGTTCATTATCTTAATCCATCGATAGACGTTCATCGTTATTTGCAGCACTTGACATTAAATTAGAGTTCTTGCTATAATATCATGTGTGTGTGTGTGTGTGTGTGTGTGTTGCTCTCTGTGTATTTGGCTGACCCACCATGAGGACTGTGTAAAGTTACTGTCGTTATTCCTGTTTGACTGCAGATGTTCCATTCTGCCCAACGCCACAGTGAAGTGTGATACAGGAGTTTATGAGTCTCTGCAGGCCTGGAAGGACCACAAGCTGCATATTGACCACGAGGTAGCACACAGCTCACATACTAACTAACTAACTGACTAACTAATTGTCTAATAGGGCTTTATGCTACAGTAAAAAAAGATTCTATAGCGATGATCTAAAAGTTTTTTGGGGTCTGAACCAAACAAACATATTTTCTTACATCTGGAGAACAAGATTTGTAGAGCAGAGTGTCTCTGCAGCTCTACAGTGCCTCATTATAAGGCTTAATGAACTAACTGACAAACTAATTGATTAAGTTACTAAGTGACTAACTCATTAGATAATTAACTAAGTTACTCGGTTGTGACTGAACTGTTTCTCCTTCTGTCAGATTGAGACGCTGCAGACAAAGATAAAGAACCTGAGAGAGGTCAGAGGTCACCTGAAGAAGGCCCGCCCCCTCGAGTGCGACTGTAATAAATACCTGTAAGTGAGACACACAAACACACACACACACACACACACACACACACACACACACACACACACACACACACACACACACACACAGTACAGTGTTCAATATTTCTTTATTAGTAAAAGTACAAATACATTAATGTAACTTTACTCCATAGCTGTCAGATAAATGTAGTAAAAACTACAAAATTTCCCTCAGAATACTGAAGTACAGTACTTACTAAATGAAGTAAATGTACTTAGTTACTTTCCACCACTGCCACAGTGTGACACCAAAAAGCAGAAGCTGGAGGAATATTCATGCTTTGTGTTACAGTTGGTGTTAATGTGAATGTTTTCCAGGTATAAGTCCAAACTGAAGAATAAGCTGAGGTACAGAGGAGGTGGTCTGCACCCCTTCAGGTGAGACTGTGGTTAAATATATCACAGAAATCCCAACTTTCATTCCCTCGTATGGGTCGACCTCCAAAAACACTGGATCTTCCCCAGTAACGTGTTTCACATCAGAGACTTTCTGCAATAAATTAAAGTCTGTTTTAGTCTCCAAGCACCTGGCAGGAAAACCATGACATCATAAATATTCACCGTATTCTGTGAATGAACGTCTGGTGTGATGAAATGACACAGGCAGCGACTAAAGAACTTACTATACTATTGATTACTTCAATGGGTTTATTAGGTGTCTGTTTTACCACAAATAATAATAATAACATCCCATTAATTACATACAATGCTACCAGCACATGCTAACACCTTACCTAGCATTTATTAGCATTTGCTAATAACTGTGTGTGTGTGTGTGTGTGTGTGTGTGTGTGTGTGTGTGTGTGTGTGTGTGTGTGGCAGGAAGGGCGGGGCTCGGGACAAGAAGGCGTGGCTTTTGAAGGAGCAGAAGAGGAGGAAGAAAATGAGGAAGATGATAAAGAGGATCAGAAACAATGACACGTGTTCGATGCCCGGACTCACCTGCTTTACTCATGACAACCAGCACTGGCACACTGCCCCCTACTGGACACGTACGACACACACACTCTTCCACAACACAGATATTACTATTTATTATATAATACAGTGGTTCCCAATCTGGGGGTCGGGACCCCCACTAGGGGTCGCCAAAGCATCATGTGGGGTCATGAGGTCTACTTCATTTTAAGTCCTGTGAGAACACTTTAAAAATCTCAGCATTTGTTTCACTTCTTTGCAGGAAAGTAAACTGTCTAATAGAACAATGGCCAAATGCCAGGGACAAGAAAACACTGAAAATGTAAAATAAAGAAGAATATTGAGTCTGTATGATTGTTCAAAATGCTAAAAACACATAATACAGACAGAGAACTCCATAAAAAGTTCCCCTAAACAGGAACTCATCTGCTCAAGTTCATCCAAATATTTGGTTTTACACAAACTTCTTTACAGTTACTGAGTTTCACTGTTCGTTGTTCCGTTTTGATATAATATGAAATATCCATAAAATATGTGACTGAGTCAGTTTAATAATGATATTAAAGGTTGGGAACCAGTGATATAATTACTATGCTGTTTTCCCAGAGATGTAGTTTACTGTGTTATATCTAAGTGTGTGTGTGTGTGTGTGTGTGTGTGTGTGTGTGTGTCTGTGTGTGTGTTGCAGTGGGTTCGTTCTGCGCGTGCACCAGCGCCAACAACAACACATACTGGTGTCTGCGGACGATCAACGAAACCCACAACTTCCTGTTCTGTGAGTTTGCAACCGGCTTTCTGGAATACTTTGACCTCAACACGGACCCATACCAGGTACACACACACAACACACACACACACACACACACACACACACACACACACACACACAGCTGTCAGATTCAAATAGATGTAAATAATTTGGTAATCAAATTTAAAACAAGCTTCAACTTTGTGAAATGATACTGCCCTTTAGTCTGGGAGACTCTCAGGAACACACCTGTCATCAAATATTCTCAGCACTTAGTAGTTTTTTAATATCTCATGGTCTTCTTCAGTGAGTGAGTTTTAAAAAAACACTTTTAAAGCACTTTTGAATAATTGCTTTAATATGTTTAGCACGTTTCCCTGAGGCAACCCCGACAAACTTAAATATTATAGGTGTGCTGGAGAGATGTTGTCTCAGATCTGGACGAGCAGACTTATTTAGAAAATGGGAGAAATGGACTTTGTATTCTACAGCGGAAGACGACACTCCTTCCTGTGATTTTCTTTAGATAATAATGGACACCTGACATAAAATATCGTAATTATTCAAGCTGGTTATTTTACAAAATGTGATAACAGGTCAGAGTACTTTTCGGAAATAGCTTAAAGATCTAGTAAAAGTCTGATGTTTGATGTGTTTTGAATTATTAATATATGAACAGTAACATATTCATATCTGAATAATTGAAACAGATATCAAAAGTAATTATATGTATTATTAATTAAAGCTTTTTATGTGAACATTTTAATGATGTATCTGTCTGCAAAAATGGGTTATAACAGTCCAAAAAAATGCTAACAAATAAGAATAATTGTAATTATTATAACAATATTATAAGAAAAAATAAATAGAAATCAGAAGGGGACCCAAAACAGAACCTTGAGGAACTCCAGAAAGGAGACAGACCCTTTAAATAAAAAGTTAAATAAATAAATTATAGCTCTGCAGATTTCTGTGTTGCATGTTTTCAGATGTTTTAAGTTTGATTCACCTGCACAGAAAACTAACTCCCAACCTCCCTCCCCCTCTCCCTCTCTCTCTCTCTCTCTCCCCTCTCTATCCCTCTCTCTGCTCTATCACTCTCCTAACTCTCTCTCTGTCTCTGCTCCCTCTCTCTCACTCTCTCTCTCCCTCTCTCTCTGTCTCTCTCTCTCTCACTCCCCCTCTCTCTCTCTCTCCCCACTCTCTCTACCTCTCTCTCTCTCCCTGTCTCTGTCTCTCTCCCTCTCTCTCTCTCTCTCTCTCTCTCACTCTCTCTCTCTCCCTGTCTCTGTCTCTCTCCCTCTCTCCCTGTCTCTGTCTCTCTCCCTCTCTCCCTGTCTCTGTCTCTCTCCCTCTCTCTCTGTCTCTCTCTCTCTCTCCCCTCTCTCTCTCTCTCTCTCTCTCTCTCTCCAGTTGATAAACGGCGTCAGCTCTTTAGATCGGACGGTTCTCAATCAGCTTCACGTTCAGCTGATGGAGCTGAGAGGCTGCAAGGGACACAAGCAGTGTAATCCTCGCATACGTTCAGTGGATCAGGGTACGACACGCACTCAATCATCATGTTTTTATTCTCCTGGTAGCCATTGGTTGTAATACAGAGTGAAGCTTGAAGTTTAGTTTATTTATTTGGAAAACAGTAATTACAGTGCTCAAAAGGCTTATTCAGAGTCCTTCCCTGTTTTTAAAAAACAACTTTAAAAATTTACATTATTATTGAAGAAAAACAAAACAAATAACACATAGCACATAACTATCTAGACAACACAGACAAACAAACATAGAGCTACTTAGCTTAGCTACTTTTACATCCACTAAACTTGAGTCTTTATATTTTTACAAAAAGATAATAAATCATATTTAAGGAGACTTGTTCCTTTAGTATGTAGCCTGTTAAATGCCCACCTATAGTCCGAAAGTCTGCCCAGGGCTGCAAATAACAATGTGTTAGTGAGTCATTGAAGTCCCTGCTTCTGCCTGTAGGGGGCAGTGCTGAGTATGAACTTTAACACTTGCACACCTGCAGGTCCCCCCTTGGCTAAAATTAAAATAAATTAACCACAGAGGACTTTTAGACATGATGTTAGAAGGATTTAAATCATGACCAACAGTGGACGTCCAAAATGTCCCCTGTTCGTGAGTGTGTAGCGACACAGAGGTCCACTGTTGGTGGGAAGACAAACACAACAGCATTAAAGTGCCTCTTGTAAAGTCCGAATATTATGACCTCATTGTGCTGCAATCCTTCTGAAGAGCTGGAAACAAAACTAATCACAAGTGGCCTCTGCTCACTAACCAATCAGAATCTCTCTTCAGCAGGAGGGCGGGAAGATGGCAGCTTTGACAACTACAGGTACACACACACACACACACACACACACACACACACACACACACACACATGGACACAGACGTGGTGTTTTCCTGCTCTGAATGCTGCATGACTTCCTGATGGAGCTGAGGGCTGCTGGTGGTGGAGCAAAGAGAGAGAGAGAGTGTGTGTGTGTGTGTGTGTGTGTGTGTGTGTGTAACACAGTGTGTGTTTGTTGCATCAGGCTGTTTGAGAGGAGGAAGTGGCCGAGAGTCAAGAAACCTTCATCGTCTCGAACCCTGTGAGTCTTCCTCCTCGTCTTCCTCTTTGTAGATCAGCGGGCCTGCATTCTGCTTAAAGCCTTAATACTGCATCTGTCTGCCTGTCTGTCTGCCTGTCTGTCTGCCTGCCTGTCTGTCTGCCTGTCTGATGTGTTTAACATTCAGTTCACTTCGTCCTCGGCTGAGCTGTAACGATAGCTAGCTCACCTAGCACCACTGTACGTCACATCATCATCAGACTTGTTTTTAAAAAGTTTTAATCAATATCGCTCCAAATTAATTCATTCGTTTTTCTCCAGAAATGAAGATAAGACGAGTGAGACATCTTATCTTATCTCTGCTGAGAGTCGCACACGCTCAGTACATCTGACACAAATGTGTAAATACCTGCTAACATGCTAATTGGGTTACCATTGTCATTGTGAAGCAGTGTTAGCATGCTAATGTTAGCATTTTGGTTCTTCCCTCCCTAGCAGGAAGTTAATCGCTCGTCTCTGCTGCCGCCTGCATGTGCCTTCGTTTCACACACACACACACACACACACACTTTCCCGTGGCTAAACACCTGACGGTAGTTTCTGTGTGTCGATCCAGAGGTCCGATCTGGGACGGCTGGAAGGGCTGAGCCTCCTGATTGGTTGGAGCAGGCTCCTGACCCCACCCACAGCAGCCTGAAGGAGCAGGGCGTGGTCGTCGAGGCGGCGGCGCCACCGGTCGACGACCACGCCCCCGTCTCACCGGTCAGCCAATCAGCTTCTGCCATCTCTGTGACATCCTTAGGCCCTCCCACCCTGCTGCTCAGGGAGACGCTGGGACGAAACACTCAACGCACCTCTTCATCAGCTGCTCCTCCCTCCTCCTCCTCCGGGTGGAGCAGCCAGGAGGAGGAGGAGGAGGAGGAGGATGATGAAGCAGAGGATGAGACAGAGAGGTAGAGAGGGGGTTTTTTTGCCCCGAGTTTCGCCTTCCAGGTGATGTTTCAGCCCTCGACTAAATCTGAGTGATGCCAAAACTTTACGACAACCACGCGGTCGAAGCTGATCTTCTTAAAACGAGTGAAAACGCTCTTTTCAGATGTTTTATTCTTTATCGTTTCAAGATACACACAAGTTGATTTCTACTGGATAACACAGTCACCTGCTCGCTCATCATGTTAAATATCCATCATATAATCGACATTTAAAGTCACCCTCCGCTCAGAAATCTGTTTCTCTTCCTGTTCCTGGAGACTACGAGCTGTTCATTCAAGCTTTTTCCTGCTCTCAGTTTTTTATTTAAAAAAACAAACAGATAATCTGTTGTTCTTCGGCCACTGAGGTTTAACTTTCACCTTAGCTCAGCGAACATTACAACACAAGTACCACACAGAAACTTTTTCGAACAGCGTGAATGTGCTTCTAGTGACTGTAAAAGCTCCAGTGGACTCAGACAGCAGCTGCTCATGTCTGGTTAGCATGGTTAGCTCGGTTAGCTCGGACTACGACTTTTCAGTTTATTTTCCTTTACGATCAGAGTCCATATTCTGATCAAAACTTGAACAAAGATCAGAGTTTATAAAATAAAAACGTCCTCCTCTCTCCTGCGTCCTCCTCCTCCTCCTCCTCCTCCTCCTCTTCAGGCGACATCCTGGCGGCCATGTTTGTTTTACATGTTCATATTTAGTCTTTCTAACCGTCTGTAAAGACATTAAAGGACCTGTTCTCCCTGTTGTTGTTGTCGTTGTTACTAAACTCAGACTGAGGCGGAAGCGGACAAACTTCCATGTCGAACACTGTGACATCACTGCTGATGTAAATGTGATGTCATTTATTCTTTTTATTTTTTGTTTCTCCCACTAACTTGAGTGTCGGTTACCGTGGTGACCGACGGCTTTACTGACGACAGAGCTACAAGTTGTACTAACCTGGTGACTGACTACAGTACCCACGATGCAACGCGGCAGCCCTGAGGAGACTGACAACGAGAACACTTTAAAAAAAAAAAAAAAAAAAAAAAGACTGTGTGAAATCTCTGGATGTCTCGTGAGCCAATGAAAAGAGGACTACGTGGTGATGTCACTGAGTCCAGAACTGCTCTGTGGAGGAAAATGGCCGCAGAGTTCTGGTTTTGTGTTATTGTTTTTACTCGTGTAAACCGTCGAACATCACCGTCCAGTCACCTTCTTCCTGCACGTATTGTTTCCTCCTCTCGGCTGATTTCTGTTTCTTCTCAGCTGTTATTTGGCGTCCATTTTGTCCCTCACACAGATCCAACCGCTGGTCAGAAATGTCCAGAGCTCTAAATTATGTAAAAATAATTAAAACTTAAAAAATGTAAAATATAACTGTAGAAAAACACGACTGGATTCACACAAGAAGTGAAAGTAAGATTTTAAACTTTTCACACATCTGGTGATTTTTGCTTTCTTGGATCCAAATTTCCCGAAATGTGATTTGATCTTGTTTCTGATTTAAACTTTATTATTAAAACATCAGATGTGTGTCAGTGTTAAAATCTCCTCTCAGATTCTCTTACACTGTTTAACAAACATCCAACTGCATTTAGTGCTGAAGAGTTTGTTCTCATTTCACTGTCTTGCCTCCTGCTGCTCCGGTTTGTGGTTTCCTACATATCCCAGAATGCCTTTCAGCACCATCACTTTGATAAATCATAGCCTCAGATTACTGATTCATGTAATCTGTTGACCCTTTCTAAGCCCCGCCCCTTTTTGCTCTGTGCTCCAATAACAGTTGAGCAAGCCTCGGTCAGAACCTTATGCTATGCTAGGCTAATCGATGTTGAAAGACAATCGCATTTTGAAGATTGTTGAAAGATAAAAGACTTTTATATGGTCACATCTTAATTAAGCTAATGTTAGCCAACGCTTGATAACTAGCTAGCACTTTACGTCTGACTGCTAATGCTAACAAAACACTAGCTAACTAGTTAGCTAATATGAATTGTTATCAAGTTAGTCAGTATTAGCGAATGAATGCTAACTAACTAACTAATCTATATGAATCCTTAGCTAGCTAATTAGCTGTTACACTGATATTTGGCTAGTGTGTAGCTACAGAACAAAACCCGACAACAAAGGACAAAGAAACTTTTCTGTGATTTCCAAGACATTTTAATGAATATGTATGTTTGATAAGGTTTATATGTATCTATTTGAAATGTCAATTAAATCAGATCAAATCAAATATTACTGATTGCTAATGGTAGCAAAACGCTAGACGATTGAGGGGTTAGCTAGCATTTTGCTGATATTAGATAAGACGTGACTATATAAATTCTCCTTTATCGTTAAAATGCGGTTGTCTTTTCAGCACAGATTAGCGTAGCATATAGCACATTCAGTACAGGAAAGGAGGAAGGCTTGTTCAACCTCTATTGGAGCTTAGAAAGCATCAATATGCATTTAAATATTTAAATTTGGTCATTTATTCTCTCAGATCTTGCCCTTGAATTACTAAAATCCACATTATTATGTTGGAGTTACTTCATGTTCTACTACTAAATACATAATTGTGTGACCAACGATGGATGTAAAGTGTTTTATTCCGACAGTGTGAAAGTATTTCAGGGTGATTTCCTCCTTCCTGTGTGAGCAACCAGTCTGCTGTCTGTAGAGTTGGTTTTTTTTTAACCCCGAACGTATTTTGCTCTGCGGTGCTATTTGCTGTCTAACAACTATCTAGGAAAAACCTCCTGGTTGTGTTTGAATGTATTTGTAAATGTGTAGCTGTGTTTTTTCTAAAGACGCGCACTAGAATCGGACCGTTCGGGACCAGCTGGTTCTGAACTGGATGGACTCACACACACACACACACACACACACACACACACACACACAAGCACACACACTGAAGGACAAACTGCCGAGCACTTTGATTGGAGGACGGAGGGACGAACGGACCAACGGAGGGTTCATGTTGAGACAGGAAACGACGACACGTGATGTAAAGTTGATACTGATCTAACACACCTGTACAGTCACCCACTGACCTGTGGATACAGTGATTGGTTTTAGTTTGTGAATAAATTGTCGAATGCCAAAATGTGTTTGTGTTTAAATCTGAAGTTATTATTAGAAGTTTGGTCTTTGAATGTACAATATGTAATTTCTGCCTCCAGGGGTCAGTCAGCTTCTCCCGGTTAGGATTCCTTCAGTGTTCATGGTTCAGGAGGTTTCTACCGGGAGCCCAATGATCCACAGAGGTCTCCTCCTCTCCAACACAAACAGACCCGCTGATTAAAACCACTAAACACACTGAATAAAGCAGTTCCACCTTAAACACACTGAATAAAGCAGTTCCACCTTAAAAACTGCTTCTCCCACGCTGTTGGACAGACAAAGGACGACTTGTTTCTCTGATAACTTTTAGATCTTGATGTTTCTAAGTGCCCCAATAATAAAACATGTTCTCATATACAGTATATCTTTTTCCCTTTATCGTATTCATACTCTATGATCATATATGGTAGACCTCTATCTCTGCGTTTCACTCATGTCACCCTGGTGCTAAATCAGCTAACGTTAATGTTGGCGACAGCTTCTTTTAGCAACAAGTCCGTGTTCTTCATGTTCATCATCATCAGTCACTACTTTTAGTGTAGTTGTTGCTACTGTTGTTGCTGTGCGCCTTTTTCTCTCTCTCCATCCTTCTGTCTCTCTCTCCCTCTCTCTGTCTCTCCCCCCTCTCCCTCTCTCTCTCCCCTCTCTCTCTCTCTCTGTCTCTCTCTCCCTCTCTCTCTCCCCTCTCTCTCTGTCTCTCTCTCCCTCCCTCTCTCTCTCCCCTCTCTCTCTCTGTCTCTCTCTCCCTCCCTCTCTCTCTCTCTCTCCCTCTCTCTCTCTGTCTCTCTCTCCCTCCCTCTCTCTCTCCCCTCTCTCTCTGCCTCTCTCCCTCTCTCTCTCTCCCTCTCTCTCTCTGCCCCTCTCCCTCTCTCTCTCTCTCCCTCTCTCCCCTCTCTCTCTGTCTCTCTCCCTCTCTCTCTCTCTCTCCCTCTCTCTCCTCTCTCTCTCTCTCCCTCTCTCTCTCCCCCTCTCTCTCTCTCTCCTCTCTCTCCCTCTCTCTCTCTCTCCCCTCTCTCTTGTCTCTCTCCCTCTCCCTCTCTCACTCTCTCTGTCTCTCTCTCCCTCTCTCTCTGTCTCTCTCCCTCTCTCTCTCCTCCCTCTCTCTCCATCTCTGTCTCTCTCTCTCTGTCTCTCTCTCTCTCTGTCTCTTCTCTCCCACCCACCTAGAGCCGGAGGATCTGTCCTAGGTTTCTGCCTTTTAACAGGCAGTTTTTCCTTGCCCTTGTCTCCAAGGTCTTGCTCATGGTGGTACTGTTGGGTCTCTGTAATTAATGTTATAAAGAGTTCGGTCTAGACCTGCTCTATTTGAAAAGTGTCCTGAGATAACTTCTGTTATGAATTGGTGCTATACAAATAAAACTGAATTGAATTGAATTGAATCTGGAAACTCCATAAATCACCTCGGTACCGCTGTTGTCAAACTGTCCTCTGTCTGTCTCTGAGGTTGTGTTCAGTGACAGGCTGCTGAGCCCCGTTCAGTTGCACGCTGACGGCAGCTACATTAGCAGTTACCCGGAGGACGTCAAACGTCAGAACCCGACAATATTCTCTCCATAAAATGTGATCCAGTTTCACCCAAATCACTGATAAAGTTGTGTTTCTTGTGACACAGCTTTCTTTGTTCTGTGTCGCTGATTGATTGACGAGTGAATGTCATGATATTATTGGTAGAAATCAGTTAGTTCATGCTGATGTAAGAACGCGGCACAATTATTAAATATATAAATATATAAATGTATATATAAAAATACAAAGAAATTGAGTTTTTGTGATTGTCTTTGGTATCCATTGTTAAATATGGGAACAACATAACAGAGGATGTGATCTTAAAGGGTTAAAATGACATTCTTAATTTGTTTTTGTGAGTCTGTGTTAATGTGTGTGTAGGGTTGTTGTCAATGCTGTTAGAGAACTTTATGATTTGTGTCACAGGTTGAGATGTTTTGTGTTGTAGGAGAGGAAGTTAAAGAAGTCAGAAAACTGTCCGTCAAACACCGACAGGTATTTATTTATTTTACTACACTGAAGATTCCAGTCGAAATATTAACTACAGTAAAACTCACACATCAACAGTTAACGTACAGTCTGAATACAGGTATTTATGACTCAACTGTGTCACATTAAGCAGCACTGAAGGATTTTTGTCCACCAGGGGGCAGAAAACCTGTCAGAAATTCAAGCCTGGTGTATCATTAGCTTATAAAGTAGTTGTAGCTAACATGCTAGCAACATTATCATCCCATTCACAAAATTCACACAGCGGCCATTTCCCCCCCGACGTCACACACACACACACACACACACACACACACACACACATAGGGAAGCTCTGCTAAATGTAGAAATTTGACAAATCATTATCATTTCTCCACTTGACCAGCCACTGATAAAACATTGGGCCACATTTCAAGGTAAAACAGCATATTTAATAACCCATAAGCAACCATTAGACAACAGCTAATGTTAGCATTCAACCACTTCCTAGCTAACATTACCGATTATATACCAGAATCTGATCCAAAGAAGGTAAAGACATCACACACAGTCGTTTGATTTAATGTTAATATTAAAAACATAACTTAATGTAGGATTAATATAATTTACTGTATGTATAAACATAGTCATAAGTTACTTATTGTCCAATAATCTTATTTTGTCCTCACGTTACTGATCCAAAAACATCGCGTATCTCAACATTTTTGTCAACGAGGAAAGTCCTCCGTCTGTCTCGGAGGTTGTGTTCACTGCGAGGCTGCTGGTCCCCGTTCATTTACACGCTAACAGCAGTTATATTAGCAGTTAGATGAGTTGAGACCGGAGCCCGTCTACGGAGAGCCTGGCCTCTCTCTATTAAGTCCCATTGTACCGAATACTGGTTGCAGTTCCAGCAGAGGTCCACTGGGGGCGCTCGCCCATCAGTGCAGAATGAATGGGAGCAGATGGAGCTAGACGGCTACATTTGTCTCTTTCACCTGATTGTCGTTGAGAAATCTCAGATCTGATTGTAGTTTTTAAAGTTCAACATGGGTTATAGGTCGAAAGCTGAATTTTTTTTTTTTTTTTTTTTTTTTTTTTTTTTTTTTTTTTTTTTTTCCCCATAACCTTTTTTTTTTTTTATTTATTTTTTTTTTTTGGTAGATAAATTTTTTTTTACAACAACCTTTTTTTGTTGGTTTCTTGCTTCCGGAGGGGGGAAAAGAAATTTTTCAGCGTGGTGTTTAAAACAGTATAACAAAAACTCTTTCTAGCACGTATATTGACAGGGAGAGCCTAACCTGTGTCAGCTGTGCTGTCGATGCCTCGAGAGAAAAGGAAGTGCAGAGCGCGGAAGCACAAAGTGACTCGAGGCTTGCCGTAAAGCAGTATCTCTGGCCGTACGATGTGTATAAAAAATCTAACACCCAGCAATGTGTAATTTATTTGCATCCCCTTTCGAATGCAACATTCAAATTACTAGACAAAAAATTATATCCTGAGAAAAGTGGATTTTGAGGGTATGGCTCCATAGAGCTCCATTCATTCTGCACTCATCCTGTGAGCGCCCTCACATGGAACCAGAGGGGAACTGCAACAGTTCAGAACCCGGAAGTTTACCGAGAGTGGAAGTTCTCCCCTTATTAGACGTTCTCTGGTTGAGACAGAGCTTGATATCTCTGCTAGCTAGCCATGCTGTTGCTTGTCATGTTTATTGAACAATATTATCGCAAACTCATATCGTGCAGGCCCACTCTCAGCTTTTATATGATACCAAACAAACTTCCAGTGATCAAATGTGTTGCAAACTCACTCCATACTGTGTGACAGAGTTAGCTTTGAGCGGTTCAGCGCTACAAACCAGTTCACTCGACTCGACCGCTCTCGTACGTACTCGCTGCCCCCAACACTTCCCCTACAAACCAGCTCTTTACGCGTTGCTTTACAGTGGAGAAATACAGAAACATATGGACATAGTTACATACAGTAGATGCATAACAAACACCAAAATCAGACAGAAATACACGGCAAAAATCCAACACTAGAAACGTCACACCAACACCAGAAACACACTGATGGTGTTTGAAGAGGCAGCAGAGCTTCATTCAGCGATCTGTAGAAACACACAAACAGCAGGTTAGAAACAATTCTGAGCTACAACATTTAAAGGTTCCATATTTAAGATATTTTATGCATTAATCCCTTTTTATTGCCAGTGAGTGAACCGGTTGTAGTGACCGACTTTCTCTGCTGCATGTGAACTGATATGTGTTTCTCTGTAGAGATGAGGGTCACATTTTCAGCGGGGGAAGCTAACGTGATCCATGATACTAACTTACATATTCTGAAAAACAGTGTTTGCTAACGGTTACTTTCACTAGCCAAAAGCGATGCGAGGCAGGAGCATCCAGCTAGCTAACTGTAGCTAAGCTAAGCTGGGGTTGTCTGTCTGGCTGTGTCTTGGTTGCTTCGTGGTGTTGGCTGATGGGGCGACTTTTAAAGGGTGAGCTAGTTAGTAGTGTGGAGCTAATGGTCCAAATAAAATATAGGAACTTTGCAGATAGTAACATTATTCTAAATATGATTGTTGTTTATTTTACAGAGTTTTAACAACGCTTTAAATTCTGCTGATCAGTAACTGGTTTGTAGTAATGAAGCATTTTCAGATTGTCAGACTGTGACTCACCATGGCGACCTTGGTGGTCTGTTCACGGGTTCGAATCCGCAGCTTGTTGACGGTCGTCTCGGCGATGTCGGCTCTCTCCTCTGCATCATCCAGCTCGTGTTGGACTTTCCTGAAGCGCACCGTGCTGCAGCTCACGTGCTCCTCCTGGTGGACACGCAGAGGAACAACAGCAACTTTAAACCAAGCGGCAACTTCCGTAAAGCCAACACTGAAGTAAGAAAAACGGCAGTTCCTCTAACGGCCACTAGAGGCTCCAGCAGTTAGTCAGTCTCCATAAGGCCTCATATTAAAATGCACAACTTTATGGCAGAAATAAACATGTT